GGTGATGATGCTGCAGGCGCCGCCTGATGGGCTGAGAATATGAAGTGGCTTGCGCGATGTCTTCGCGAGCTTGTGTGCCTCAAGCCTCGGAGTCGTGAGTGTGGTAGGACATAAAGATGGTGGGCATAGCTGGTTGTTGGCGCTCATCTCGCTTCTCGCTAACCCAAGACAAGAAGCAAGCAGCCCGGATCGATCCAAGATGCTTTCGCAGGATAGGTCATCAGCCAAGCAATCCACGAACATGCATATGCGTGATTTCATGGTTTGATCCGATTTCAATCCGCCCCAGCTCAGGGAATCTAAAATGGCGCCAAATTGAGTGCATATCGCCATTTACTCACGACTGCATGGGTATGTCCAAATGCGAGTTCATTTTCAGGCACCAACGCACTCAAGAGGCTCAACTCGACTGATGTGCTCCCGAGCTCTGATGCAGCGAAAGCGGGTTCGTGGCCGGCCATGCATGCATGCCGCATGATCCTGCATGCGCTCATGAACGTGCGCGGGCACTGGACCGCACGCCATCCATCAGCCAGGCGAGAGAGCAACTTACGGCTGAAACAAAGGTTGCTGGTGTGATGCGATTCACGGCGCCTTCGACGTACCTCTGACGCGCGAACGCGAGGCTCGACTCGCGATGCCTGCCTCATCATGAGTTATAGTCTGGTTCGTGATCTGTGCATCACTCATCAGATTCAAGCGAGGAGCATGAAGCCAGGAAGCAGCTCATGCGCGTCGGCACTCAAAACCCCGACTGACTCGCCGTGACTGGCACCCGCCAGCTCCGGTGGCGTGCGTTCTTACTTCTGCTGGGAATATACCTGGTGTCCCCGGTCACGCAATGAGGAAGTGTGAAGTGTCAGAAACGATGTTCGCTAGCCTAAAGATTGGAGAAGCTCGTTCCTGTCGGTGCGAAAGTCACAATCGACTGTAGGTGTCGGCATTGGACAGCGTGACGGTAGCAAGGTTCAAACTGAGTCCAGAGGGCGGACATGTCCACATGCGCCGGACCTGCTTGCTTGATGGGGCACGCGCAGCTTTGACGAGCGGCATATACTTTCGACTGCATGTGTGCTACTTACTGTATTCTGCAGTCTCGGAACACCCGACAAGCAGGATCGTTATTATCGTGACTTGACGCTGGGAAGTCCGAATTTTCTGCCGCTGAACGGACGGACATTGTGATTGGCCGTCCAGCCTTGGCGATTACGAATTCGTGGTTGCAATCACGCGGATTAAGAATGACGTATATCGGCAGGCCCATACAAACTCGACGATGTTCGACAATCGTGAATAGGGCGCTCTCTATCAAGCACAATTCCATATTTCTTGAATTCGTGATTTGTGAGTCAGAGTCATCTTGTTGACATGCACACGGTCCAGTATATATAGGTACCTACTTTAAACTGCGTTGCTGCTGCCGCAACAACAAGCTGCAGGCAAGCTGTAGGCCGGCGCCGATGGGACGATGATGTA